ATCCTAAATCTGACCCTCCCCACACAAGAAGAAGAACAAAAATTAGGATGCTCAGCTGCAGCGTTTGACCCCATTTCCCTCGTTCCCGTGGTGTTACCTCTCCTTGGCTGCTCTGTGTGTGCCCACCTTGGCAATGAGACATACATCTGGTGCAGGGGCAGGTGGGGTGATTTCAGGATATTAGCATCTCTCCCAAGCTGCTGCTTCCCCAGAGCATCCATCCCATGGATTGCACCGTGTAACAGTGCTCCTTTGAGTGTGGGGTCCAAAGGGATGGAGTTGCAGATCAGAAAGCCACAAATGGGACTGCACCAGACCAAGGGTCAGCAGACCAGAGGAGCAACCACAGAGGTATAAGGCAGGAAGGAGGACCTCAGTGCCACATCCTTGGATAGTCTGTGCCCATCTCTGCCATATCAGCTGCAGAAGAGGTCAAGCCTGTGAAAGCCAAGACCAACGTGAGCTTCAGTCCCTGGTACAGGTGCGTCTCATTGTAGGACAAGAGACCAGCAAGTTTCAAGCACCTTTTCATAGATTTTACTGCAAAATGCAGCCACCGAATTCCTACAGTGGGTACAGAAAAGGCCACGAAGGTAATCAGAAGGTTGGAGCAGCTCCTGTGCGAGGACAGGCTGAGAGAGTTGGGGTTGTTCAGCCTGGAGAAGAGAAGGCTCCGGGGAGACCTTCCAGCACCTTCCAGTGCTGAAAGGGGGCTACAGGAGAGATGGGGGGGCTCTGGATCAGGGGTGGAGGGACAGGACGAGGGGTAATGGCTTAAACTGAAAGAGGGGAGATTGAGATGAGATATTGGGAAGAAATATTTTCCTGTGAGGGTGGTGAGGCAGTGGCCCAGGTTGCCCAGAGAAGCTGTGGATGCCCCATCCCTGGAGGGGTTCAAGGCCAGGCTGGATGAGGCTTTGGGCAACCTGGGCTAGTGGGAGGTGTCCCTGCCCATGGCAGGGGGGGTGGAAGAAGATGATCTTTAAGGTCCCTTCCAACCCAAGCCATTACATGATTCCATGATCTGAATATTTCCTCCACCCTACTCCTTTGCATCAACTCTGTGGGCTGGGGTACTCCCAGTCTCTGTTGCACATGTGTTTTGTGATCATGAACGCTAAGCTCAGCCTTGGGAATTTGTGTTTGTTGCAGCATCCCCATTTTTTATTTAAATGAAGTCTTTTCTTTTATGGGAACAGGATAGCTGTTGTTGGCTTCTGGATAAGCAGTCAGGTTTCCTCCCATCGTGGCTGTGGTTGCTCTCGTTACAGGCATGGTGCAAGGGATTGTTTAGCTTGTTCCTCTGCATCGAAGCCTCCCAAGGGAGAGTGGGCGAGTTGTCTTCTCTCCTCACCATTCACTTCCAGCCCTGCCCTGGGAAATGCCAACCGAACAGAAGCTGGGTCCCTTTGGACACCTCATTATTTCAGTTTGCCAGTAGCATTGCTTTTCTTCCCTTGGCAATTTGGCTGTGGGTGTTTGTGACTTCTCATTTTCCGTGCCCTTAACTCTCAGAGGTTCTTCTTTATCTGCCTCTTCTTTCTTTCAGAAAGGTTTGTCTTCTGGCAAAAGCAAAAGCTGCAGCCCTCTCCCCAAGCCTTCCTTCCCAGTTGTTTGCTCCAATGATGCTCTACAGGGCTTTGGTCAGATGTGCTTCAGCACACCCCTGCTTTGGAAACCTCTGAATTAGATGAGACCTCTGCTGACTCTTTACAGGGTGCTTTGAGGGCTTCTGATGAGATGCCAGGAGTAAGCGTGGCTGTAAACTGCGGCAGCAACTTTTAAAAGCAAAGTTAAGATATCAAACCCATAGATTATATCAAGCACATAGATTAACCCCTTTGTCCCAAGAGACACCAGCTCTGCTGGATGTGCTGGGATTAGAGCAAAGTCCTTGCTAAATATCTCAGAGCCCTTCATTGTCACAGAAGTAATGGACCTCTTGGTCCTCCGTACAGTTGCACATGCAATTGTGATAACATTCCTGGAGGTATCTGTTGTCATTAGACACCAAAATGTCTCTGATTCAGAGCCCAGGAGGAGCTGAAAGATGCTGATGCAGGTTTTAGTATCACTGAAATATCCGTCCAGGGATCTTGGACCAGGTCTCCCATTGCTCCTTCGAAATGTAATCCTGATTTACACCAGGACATAACTTAGGAGCTCTGTGTCCCTTGCTCCACTGCAAAAAGTGAAACCGCCTCTCTCAAGTGTGGGGAGGAGGAATACCTTCAAGGGAGAAGGACAGGCCAGCCACATGATGAGAGGAGGAGGTTAAAAAGTCCATGGGCTGCCGAGTTGTAGAGCAAGTGATCTTGCAGAGAAAGATACACATCCCTGTGTATCCCAAGAGATTATTTTATTCATAGACTTTCTTCTGCCTCACCCCAAGGCACCCTCTTCCCATTAAGCCTGTGGTGTTTGAGTCACTGAGAGGGAATGGGGGACTGCAAGTTAATTTAAAGGTGTTTTCTAATTTCCTGAGTTTTGGCTGACCCTACATGGCTTTAGGTATGCTCTGGCTATAATACCCTTTCTGTGGACCTTCAGAGGTATCTAGCTCTTATGAAATGATAGAAAAGCCTTGAAATGGGGTGGAGAGAGGGTGTTAAACAATTTCCAGCAGTGCTTTGTCCTAAAGAGTTGGTGGCTCTGTACCTGTGCTCCCACAGGTTCCATCGTTATTGCTCAGCAAACGAGGGACAAGGGCCAGACTGTGAAGCCAAGTGGTTCAGACAACCCTCCATCTCCACCACTTAGCCAGGTCTCCTTCCCCCTCAGTTGCTTCCAGAGTGCAGAGAAGTCTTGGATGGGATACCATGAGCAGATAGCTCTGCGGGCGCTGACCTCCCAAAGTCCATTTTGCATAGGTTTTCTCCAACTCAGTGTTAGTTATTGCTCTCGGAGAAGACCCTGAAAGCTGATCTTGTATCTCAGGAGGGCAGAGAAGGAACATCACACGGTGCCTGGGCGCTGGACCCCGCCGCAGTCTGTTCATCATCAGGTGAAAAGTCATTGCTCCTTCTACTGCCACCACGTATGGGGGTATAGAATCATAGAATCACAGAATGGTTTGGGTTGCAAGGGACCTTAAAGATCATCGAGTTCCAACCCCCTGCCATGGGCAGGGACACCTCCCACTAGACCGGGTTGCTCAAAGCCTCATCCAAAAAAAACAAACAAGGCAGTCCCAGCAAGGTCCATGTGACATTGTCACATGTAGCTCAGGTCAAAAAGGTCTCCAGGGTTACCTGAAGGTATTTTTAACTTTTAAAACCCAAGGGCTGGATCAACAGCCTTGTTGCTAAAGGTCTTTGAAAGCTAGTAAACAAGTGAGGCAAGAGCTCAGAGAACAGCCAGAAGGGTCTGGTTTCCTCAGACCTCTTTATTTTCCCTTCAAATGGGTCTGTGTAGCTCTTAGCTTTTTTTGACTCTGTGCTCAGGGTCTTCAGGAGTAACAGCAGACTGATGATTGCAGGACAATTCCCAGGAAAATGTCGCACCTTGGGCCCCTGGTGTCTGTGGTTTGTCTGGCCAAGGCCAGCTTCTGATGGTCTTTTTTGGAAGTCAAAGCGATAGCCTCCAGGGATCATTCTGGGTGGTTGTGAGTCCAGTATGACACAATCCAGGTGATGGCACAGCCTTTTGTAAAAATATTTTGGAAAAAGCTGTTTCCTGGAGTTCATTTAACACGGTTGGAGCTTCCAAAGTGCCCTGTGAACATGGCATGTGGCAGAAGCCAACCTGAGTCACAGGCAGAGGATGGAGAGAACCGAAACAACTTGAGTCCACACAATATCTAGAGCTTTGTGCTGAAACCCCTGATCTCTCCAAGTGTCCAAACTGGTGACTACATCAAAGATACCACAGCACACTTGCAGGACTCAGGCCGTTTCCATCCTGCACCAAAACTGTGGCTGTGCTTTAGCCACTTGGCAGAAGGGACATGGCTTGGCACAGCACCTCTCTTCAGGATCATGGAGCCACCTGGTACCCTGCAAAGAGAAACACGTTCACCACTATCCCCCTTTGTCCCATTCACTGTGTGGACAACCCACCAGCACAACATGGTTGATCTGGATGTCGTGGAATCATAGAATGGTTTGGGTTGGAAGGGACCTTAAAGATCATCTCATTCCAACCCCCCTGCCATGGGCAGGGACACCTCCCACTAGCCCAGGTTGCTCAAAGCCCCATCCAGCCTGGCCTTGAACAATGTCAGACTGAAGTGATCCTAATGGAGGCCACCAAGATGGTCTGGAGCACAGGACCTATGAGGAGAGGCTGAGAGAAGTGAATTTGAGCATCCAGGAGGAGGGAAGGTGAAGAGGAAGCTTATTGCTGTCTGCACTACCTAATGGGGGGTGCAGGCAAGATGGAGCCAGAATCATGCTGGGGATGCACAGTCACAGGACAAAATCTTCACCATGAGTGTGGTCAGACACAGGAACAGGGACCCAGAGAGGCTGTGGGATCTCCATCCATGGAAATACTGAAAGACGGACTGGACAAAGCCCTGAGCAGCCTGATTTAACCTTGAAATAAGTCCTGCTTTGAGCAGTGGGTTGGACCATACCCCTCCAGAGTCTCCATCCAACCTGAATTATCCTGTGACCCTACACTCAGAGAAAGCCACTGACACCCAGACCTGTCGGGTGGCACCCCTGGCTGCATGTCCTCGTTTTGGGATAACGAGCCACCCTCCGGCTTGCTGGGAGCAGTTGTCAGGGAGGTTGCCAGGGAGGCTGACATCAGACATCCCTTCCCTATAGATTATCGTGCACAGCAGCACCAGCAGTTCCTCATCTGCAAACGAGGCGGGAGGGCACCCAGAGGAAGCCCCGGAGGGTGTTTTGCGTCACTGGCCCGGGTTGCCTAGCACCACTGGGACCGTGGAGAGGGGGCACCGGCTCCAGGGGTTTGGTGGCATTTTTTTCTCTTGCATGTCCTGTCTGAGAGCCAAACGTTGCTGAGGACGTAGCAGAGGAGCAGCTGAAGTGATGGCAGCCGCGGCAGGGATGCTCGAGCTGCCCTTCGTCCGTGATGAGCAGCTCACCCAGTGCATGCGGCTGCGATTCCAGAGCCTGCAGCAAAAAAACATCAGGCCCCAGGATGGCGAGAAGCTGCTGCATCCCAACGAGTATGTCTACCGAGTGGATTTCATCCGGCAGCACAGCCTGCGCTTCCTCCGCTGGGACATCCGGCTGGAGGGACCTGGGAAGGTCACGGTGACCGGCACCTCCCAGCACTGGACTCCTGATCTCACCCACCTTATGAACCGGCAGCTCCTGGAGCCAGTTGGCATTTTCTGGAAGAAGCCAGGGGCCAAGGAGGTGGAGTGCAACGAGGCAGATGCCCAGGAATTTGGGGAGCGGGTAGCGGAGTTAGCCCAGATCCGCAAGGTGATGTATTTCCTCCTCGCTTTCACGGACGGCCTCGAACCAGCTCAGCTGAAGGGCTCCATTGTTTTTAAAGCCTGATCCCCTCTTGCTCAGCCCTTCTTCCTTCAGCTGTGCTTTTGTCTTTTTTTTTTCTTTCTATCAGTTCAGTTCTCAGTTGTTTTTACGTGGTTCTTTGTTGAGGGACATCATAATGAAAAAGTGGAGGACAGCTCAGTGCTTCTGGAGCCCTCACCCCTGCGATATACTCCCCATACATGCTGTCCTCTGAATGATGGGGAGGATGGACCATGGGCCGTGAGTTTGCTGCCATATTTGCCTACAGTATAAGACTGCATGCTTGTGAATTCAGCAGGGAATCACCAGCTCTGCCTGGAACAGGGTCTTGCCGGTTTGAAAATATGAAGCTGCCCTAAGCCCTCCAACTGTGACACCTGGATACCAAAAGCCTGATGGAAAAATAAGAAATTGCCATGCTAGAAACAAGAGAGACAACCTGGACAGAGCCTTGGCTTTAGGTTTCCGTCCTAGCCATTCTCTTTGCAAGGGTGCCGAGTGCTTGCAGGCTGCAGTGACTCCCGCCGTGACTGTGGCTGCTCCGTGTCTCTGAAGACCAGTCCCATGGAGGATCACCTTGCCGTGAAGCTGAAGTTCATTTGGACATGCCTCATCCTGCAGATTGCAAACCCACCGGACAACCGGGTGCAGGGAGGTTGGACCACCCTTTTCCTGACAGCCATCATGGTTTCTTGCTGGGGGTCAATGTGGGGAGGTGTTCTCCAGCACGTTGCTCATCTTGTGGTGCCTGGAGATTGTTGGTCCTGAGATGGGTTGGAGCAGGCATGCAAGTGTGTGTAGAGCTGGGCAAGCGAGCCAGCAGCTCCGAGCAGGCTGTAGGTCTGAGCCAGCAGTGAGTACCCTGAAGCAAAAATGATCTGTGCATTGTAGTGGCCTTAAAGCACCCATGAATATATTTATTCTGAAACATCTTGCCCAGAGAAGCTGTGGATGCCCCAGCCCTGGAAGTGTTCAAGGCCAGGCTGGATGAAGCTTTGAGCAACCTGGGCTAGTGGGAGGTGTCCCTGCCCATGGCAGGGGGTGGAACTGGATGAGCTTTAAGGTCCCTTGCAACCCAAACCATTCTGTGATTCTATGATTCTATGATCTATAGAGAGCCATGAGGCTGCAGAGCACTCTGCAAAGCACAAAGCAGGAACCTGCTGCTGCTGTCCCCAAAAAGCAGTATCTCCTGCCCTCTACAAGTGCTGGGGCAGGGAGTGTTGTCTGGGTGGCAGTGGGAGCAGAGATGGGAGACAGTATCTTTGCAAGTTTAGGAGCATGAGCGTGTTTTGTGCCTGGCTTGTCCCGTCACTGCAAATAAAGTACTAACTTTGGACATTCCCTTTTCCTCCACCAAAAAGTGGAGGGTACTTTGGTGAAGCTTCTTGAGACCCACAGATAGAAATGTTCTTTGAAAGACCCAAGTATTATTACAACTGGTCCTTTGCTAAGATTCCACTCAAATGTGGGTGAGTGCCTCTCAAGGTATGGATTGAGATTTTCCCGAGATGCGTAAGCAGAGGGCAGTGATGGGGAAGCCAGGACAAGGTACTTTGCACCTTGTGCAGACCATCCCAAAAAGAGTCCAACCTCTTCTTCAAAGACTCCAGAAATGGAGACTCCATGCCCTCCCCAGCCCAACAATACTGTATAAAATGACGTGCACAAACTATGTCAGGCAGAGAGGCGAAGGAAAGCAGGAAGATCAGCTACTGGCTGGAGAGATGGTGGGAGATTTGAGTCTTGCCCACAACCAAAGCTCAGCAACCACCAAATTATACAGCCATGTCATGGGCAGTGTCAGAGAAGTTGAGGTATTTGTTTAAGACCCCAAGAAATTCTGCACTCAATGAAGAGAGATAAAAGTGGATCCATCCCTGTTTGGCCATAGCATGGACCCACTATGGGCCAAACCCAGTTCTAGGGTCCCGGCAGATTTTCCCATAGGAGCCCCCTCCTTGTACATCCCAGAGGAGAGCTCCTAACTACAAATCACATTAGACCAAATAACAGGAGCCACTGTCAGCTTCCAAAGAGGTTTTTGCATGCCAGGTCTCAATATGCCATTGCTGCGTTGCTGGAGTAGAGTTCCTGCTGCAGGTACCTCGCTGGGTATTGATGTACCACCATAAATAAAAGCATAGTCAGCAGGGTTCCCCTTAAGGATGGAGGCTGTGTGTGTCTTCTTCGTACTCTTTTTGGAAGCTGCCCCAATCCTGCACACAATAAGGCAGTACTCAGTAATTTTCAAGTCACTCTTGGTATTTTTGAGCAACTTTTTTATCTCCTGTAAAAAATAAAATGAACTTCTTTTCTCCTGATGTGAAAAGCTTAATGGAGCATTTACCAGTTTGGGGAGGGGTTTAAAGCTGGGCAGAAGAGGGGAAGCAATCCTCAGGTGGCTCCTCATGATCCTCAGGTGGATGCTCAGAGGGATCCTCCTTTCCATCAGTGCTGGGGGTGGGAGGTGAGTGGGACTCTGTGATCTCTCTCTGCTGCAGGGAAGATGAGCCTCTTTATACCAGTCGCTGAAACTCTCCCTTACACAGTTTCAGCATCCCATAAAGGCTTTCAGATACACCACTCTGGCCTGTCTCCCAGGGGAATTTCATGCTGACTTGTACCATGGTTCAGCAAATTGGCACAGCTGGGTCCCTCCCTCCCTTTCCCTGGCAAGTTCCCAGCAGAAGAGCCCTGGCTTGGCAGAATCAACGTCTACCCATTCCTCCTTCTAATCAGGAACATTGCTCCAGGGTCAGAGGTGCCTTTTCTCTTAATTAGCCACTCCTAAGAAAAATGAGAAAAGCCCTAAACTGGCTTAGAGAAATGTTACAAATTAGATGTGGAGCATGATGTTTCTGGGCTCTCTATTTACCTGTCTCTGAGCCCTGCCACTGTAAATTTGTCCCACAAAAGGGTGTTACAGCTCCAGATTTTGGGAGCAGCACAGTTGGGTGAATGAGGAGATCTGGTCTCCACAGCCTCAGCCTCACACAACCAAGTCATGCCCAGGACTCAGTGGCATCCTGCGATGGGTGGTCCATGGCATGCTCTCTGGCATCCACTGAGGATGGATGGAGACGTCTGGGGAGGTTTCCTGGGAGTGAGTGGGAGCCATGGACCTCAGTCACAGGAATCTGGGCTCCAGCTACTACCAGCATCTGTAGATGTGCCCCAGGTTAATCCTTTAGATAATATGCAGCCTCAGGTCACAGACAGGGGTTTTTCTGTATGCCTTGGACTGTGGTATCCCGATAGGCACCACATCCAGAGCCACCACCTCTCCCCAATAGCCGGGTGAGTCACAGACACCCTGGCCAGGGGTGAAGAAGCTGGAAGGATCCTTGTCCTGGGTGGGATGCTATGGGAGGAGGAACCCAATGTTTGAGGTCACACCTTGCTCTTTGGCAGGTTGAGGACAGATTGGGCTCTGGAGATCAGGCTCCTCTTGTTTCCCCTTGGCATGGTGTTAAAACACAACCAATCCCTTCTCCTG